ATGTTTAGTCTACAAATGATTCTGTTAACTCTTCAAAACAATTCCTAGAATATTGGTTGCTGATCATGCAGCATTGAAGAGTTGGCAGATGTAACTACGTACATCATTAACGATATTTGAATATGGCATATCATTTTACTGCAACTAACTAAACATACTATTAGTTGTTTATTTTCAGGTTGTTTTCTTAAAACTATTTTAGCATTGACAGACCACAACGCTAGTGATCACAGGGATATCTGATATTACATATTCGTTTTTTCATTCGGTGAGTACTAGCAGCACGTTTTTTCTTTAGCTTCTCACGTTACAGGTAAGTCGTTAGTGCGACGGTTAAAAGCAACGCATAGGGGCAATGTCTAAGCTGCGCGAGCGTGCTCTGAAATAGTCGGGACGGGATCTATTTCCCGGGCAGCTGCGAGCGTTCGTTGCCCCGACGCAGGGCGTTAGAAGTGCAACGATCTCTGCAATTATCGCTGCGCAACTCTAAACTTGAACTGCAAGCAATGCGCCAACCGTGCACCTCACCTTCACTGCTTAGAAAGCAACATCTATTACGTGCCACGCTCACTACCACACGCGTTAGGTACTCATGCTAGACTCACCACACTGGAATACAGTAAAAGCGAGAGCACTCGTCGTTTTCAATGACTTTAATTGCGTTTAATATTACGTATGGAATTGTCGCGATTTTAATTCAAACCAGGCACACAGCCTCTGTTATCTTCATTCACATTACCATTCACAGAAAGGCTTTTTTGCCACAATCAACCTCCGCAATGCTCTAAGAAAACGAAAAATACCTTCAAATAACTCTACAAGAGGTACTAATTGTATACTTCTTACCAGTAGCGAGTTTTCAAATAAATAATAGCCTTCATGATCACTACAATCAATTCAAAAACAATAAAGAAAAATATTTGTACAAGTGAGAGTGTTATGATATCTCAATCAAATTAGGCTGTAGGTGTTTCAAGACGGGGTGTGTTTTTCAAAACATTTCAGCAGTATGAATGACGACCTTTGTTTGACTCTCGTTCAGCTGTGCTCTACAATACTTTCTATACTACCATCAACATCATCTTAGTCAATGATACAAAATTGATTTCGTATAATCGATTGATCGAGTCAGGAGTATGGGTACCTACCTATCACAAACTTATATTTCGTATACTCATGAAAATCTTAGAAGTACATACCTACTTAACTAGTATCATGAGCCTAACATACACTTAACTAAAATAAGTGAATTGAAATAGAGTAGTATGAAAAAAAACTTTAATTTTGGGAGTAATTTAGAAAAAGTGTTATCATGATTACTACAATAAATATTTTGATATCTATAGCTTGTATCAGCAGCTGATACTCCAAAAGTATTGGAGTACAGTACCAAAATAGTTAGGTGTTGCATTTTATGTAATTTTCACTGTTTTATTGAAAATCTGTTTTATGTGCCTAATATTAGACCAGGTACATTTAACAAAAATCGTTTTTTATATTACACATTTTCACAATAATGAGGTTTTGGTTGATTGGGCACTACTTATTTTCACGCGTATTACTAGTTATACCCGTATATAAATAAGTTTGCAAACATACGCATAATAACAATATCCCGAGCAACCAAGTGGTTTACATAAGCTGCATGTTCGTTCATACACGACGAGGCGTGCAGAAAGAGCTCCTAAAGTGTAATGCTGCCCTGGTAATCGGTTGCACTAAAGTGCATTTGCAACCGAACATGCGTGTGCGCGCATTTTTTGCAATATCATTTTTGTATAGTAGATAATATTCGATGAATGGCTTGGAATGTTAAGCAAATTGAGTCGTTATCAGATAATCCCAACTAATATTATAAATGCGAAAGTAACTCTGTCTGTCTGTCTGTCTGTCTGTCTGTCTGTCTGTCTGTCTGTCTGTCTGTCTGTCTGTCTGTTACGCTTTCCCGCTTAAACCTCGCAACCGATTTTGATGAAATTTGGCATAGAGATAGTTTGAGTCCCGGGAAAGAACATAGGATAGTTTTTTTCTCGGTTTTTCCCAACTAATATTATAAATGCGAAAGTAACTCTGTCTGTCTGTCTGTCTGTCTGTCTGTCTGTTACGCTTTCCCGCTTAAACCTCGCAACCGATTTTGATGAAATTTGGCATAGAGATAGTTTGAGTCCCGGGAAAGAACATAGGATAGTTTTTTTCTCGGTTTTTGAAACAGGGACGCGCGCGATAAAGTTTTTCTGTGACAGACAAAATTCCACGCGGGCGAAGCCGCGGGCGGAAAGCTAGTTATTTTATATATACCGACAAGACTCTCAAATGAAAAAATATACTAAATTACAGTTTTGGCTTGAAATAACATAGTGAAAAGTGGTGATTGTGTAATACACACAATGTGTATGTAAAAACTATATTTAATTATGTTTTATTTCCTCCTGAAAGTTTTAAGTTGCTTATTTTTAATTTATCATTAAAATAATGAAACCATTCATTACGCAATTACATCTATAATAAAAATCTTAAATTAAGAAGGTATCTCAAAGTTCACACATTATTCAAATCATAATAATTAATGCTCGGTGCTATTCTTCTAAAGTAGTGCTCAAGCTATGTGGTAAGGTAATGTGGTACAAGTACTGTAATCGTGAGTCGAGGTTTCACTATAATGTACCAGGCTCGCAGGACAGTCGAAGAGTTCGTACGTGCCAAGAAAATGGCGCGGTGCATTTATATGCACTTCGACAGAGATATTTTTGCTCACGAGTGCGCAAGAGACGGCTATATTGCATGGATGTGTGTATCAAAAGGGTAATACTGGTGAATTGGTGACGTCTGAACAACGTATGATCGTGTTACGTACATTTCAATGTGTGTATGGTTGTATTGTCAATGTGGTAGTAGGCTCATGCGCTTTGCCGATATGCATGTAGCGCAGTACAAGCGGCTGAAATTTAGTACTGTTTTCGATACAAATTGAAGGTTTATATCATTATGAAACCATTACCTTTATGAAATGTATGATTCTAAATAGTTATCAATAAATATAAAAATAAACATATCCCCCTAGAGCTAACAAACCAAAATTTAAAAGAAATCTTCAACTGTCTCTTCTACGAGTACGTGCCATAAGACTCTATAGGAGTTATACGAGTATATGGCAGTAAAAGTAAAATAAATAACTGTCAATATTAAAAAGGGTGTTTTCTTCTAATAAATATTGTTAAACCAAAATCAAAAGTTTAATCACGTATTAATTTTATTTAGAAGATAAAAAATATGATCACTGCTGTTGAGAAGATATTAATTTAATATACTAGGGCCTTTCAGTATTTTGTTAGCTTTGTAAAGTTTTGCGTGCAGTGTAATGCAGCGACATACAATGCAAATGTGCAAATGAGCGTGTGTCAAGCGTGCACTCTGCAACTACATGAGCGGCAAGGGCACCTCGCGCTGACGCCGCGATACCACGACCACCTCGCCTGCTCTGCTGTCCTGGTACCAAAGGTTCGCTCGCCACACAACCCTTCTTGTCCTAAAACTATTGCATGCTGAAAAGGACTACTTCAGACCATTGTTTGTAAATTGCTATGTCGTCAGAGCCCGTACAACAATGAGCGCTCCTTGCATACGACTCGTTCGACCGTCCTACAGCAGTTTATTCGCACCAATTTTATTTTTGCGACGAGTCACCCACATGAGTTCTTCGGCCAAGGTCGTCCCGCAAGCCCTAAATGGTGATATAAATCACAGAAATGTATCCACGCAAAATTTGCACAAAGGACATTATGCAGATGTTGACGTGTGGTGTTTATGAATGTCACGAATTTGAGTCACGTGTAGTAGGCCGCCGCGTGGGCTGAGTGAAGCCCACTGCCTCGGTATACGTGCTGCATTTGTGCTCTTTATTTTTACTCCGCAGTTCATCGCCCTTTAAAGCTTCATTACAGAAACTGTATAATGAATTAATGTAAACGGCGTAATCCTCTTGGTGTTCATGCAACTTTTTATTCATATTCAGATGATACAAATTGTGTTTCTAACTAGGCAAATTATGGAATCGTTTGACTTTAAATTCATAACGATTTGTCACCATTTGATGAATCTTTTTTTGCATTTTCATAGCTTAATTATTCATGTGTAGTTTACACACAAAACTTTATAAACTGTTGTTCTTAAAAATGCAATTATTAACTGAAATCTTGTATCTTTAAATTTTCCACTCAAAACGGCAATTTCATAGGTAAACCCCTAAGATTATAAACTTCTAGAATTGTGACGACAATAAAACAGATAATTAAAGTAATAAGATAAAAAATAAACATTGTAATGAGTGACACAGACTCAGTGCAATACAAAGTAACCTTTAGAGCGAGATATCTTGACATTCGATGAATGCATTCAATAATAGGGGCAATTTAGTTTGCGATCTGGGAGCGACAATGCGAAGCTGAGTGTGCAGGAATCTGGCAGGCGCGCACGTCCTCGTTACCGACTGTACATTGCAGGTAGGGTTGCCAACCGTACTATAATATATAGTATTGTACTATATTTCGGGTCTGCGTACTATACAGGGTGTTGATTTCAATACCCGCCATATTTAGGGAGTTGATTAAGTAGCTTATTCTGATCACGAATCAGCAAAAAAACTGACTTCAAATTTTTTTTAATTATATTTTAAATATCTACGATTTCCATAATCGACCACTACAGTGCAGAATAGTCCCCCAACGCAAACGGCGCGCGGCGCTCACCCGGTGACCCGGGCAAACGCTGCGCCCCCCGTCCCGCGCCCCACTACCCGCGCTCGCCCATGAGTCAGTCAACTATCAGCCATAATCAGCTGTGAGTTCAACGACGACTACTGGACGGAGCTTAATCCAAATCTACCCTAAAAATGTAATGAGTAAATTAGTTACTTACACCTTATCACGTTACGAGTTTATTTTTTGTTCTAAAAACTAATTAATTAAGTAGGTCTTTAATAAAAAAACCTTTTACACGAATTTGCTTCCTTCCGCAAAATAAAAATTTTTACAGAAGCTACATTTTTTTTAAATTAAACCATGCTTTTATGTGTGTGATAAGCTTGTACCTACTTATCATTCAAAAGTACTGTAAACAGATGACAATAATGCTCTTTCATACAGGTTCGTTATTCCTTACATTTCTAGCTCTCTACCTTAATAACTTTTACGTCTTTACGATAGTAATTATTAAAATAAAACTTAACTTACCGCAAACTGAACACCTAGAAATAACACACTGGCAAACTCTTGTTCCTTCACTTTCGATAGGAGATAAGACAAGATTTTGTTTTTAAACTCGATTGATTTCAGTATCTAAACAAAATTTCTATCATTTAGCACTTCTTTCATTTAAATACAATAATACCGCCGCACGGATATCGGGCTCGCACTGACAATACATACTTCGCTCATCTTCGTGTTTCGGGCGTCATCGGCGCTCAATCGTGGATCATCGATTTTCTCCATTCATCAGTCCGATTTTGCTTCCCACGTTGAGAGGCTGCGCGCACGCTCCGCGAAATCTAGCTCGTATTTAGAATTCCTAGTACTCAATCGCTATTTCTTTATTTCTTGCCTTGTAACATCAACTTTTCTCTTCCTCTCTGCTTGATAAATGTTTTCTAGTACATAAACTTCTTACTACCGTGTTCTATCTCTGTAAAAATTTGATTTAAAATAATAACGTAATTTAATTTCTATCGGCGTTTAATTTAAATTCCCTGAACGACTGTTAGGCTGTTAGTTAGGTTCAGGTTAAACTTCCATTCTTCATAACTTACATAAAATAATTCATCATCATGTTCGTGATTATTTTAAATGAACTTAATTTCATTACTTACACGAAATAACTATCAAAATGTATTGATATTCTTATCGTTTTAATAATAACGATTGAGCTACTACAAATCATTTGCATTTGAGTATTTTGGAAGCTTGCTATAAGAGCATTAATTATGATAGGACGGATCTTTAGTTAACAAAGATCTTCGGTCATCGAATGTGCAAATTTGCGATTTTTGATTGTTTTCTCGTGCGGTTTTGAGTAGTTAGTGTGTGAACGTGTGATAGTGAGTGTGGTAATAGTGAGTGAGTGTTAGGAATATGCCTAACCATACGTACAGTGCTCGTGAGTAGATACGTAAACATGGTTTACTGTTACGGGAGGGCACGTGGAAACGCATCTGAAGTCGCATCGGTAAGTACCTAACTCTAAACTTAAAGGACATTCCTTTTTAATGTAGGAAGTGAATAATCTGGTAATTTTGTGTAGAAAATACTCCCGCCGTCGCGGTAGGTAGTGGCGGAAAGCGCTCCAATACACTCACACACACATAGGAAACAGCAAACTAATTTAAAACGAACTTTAACTTTAGTTAGTCAAAGAAAAATACCTATTTACACTACCAACTTTACGTATCCTTCAGTAGACTATCCAACATGATAAGCGAGCGATCCGCGTAGCTCGATGGGTGCCCGTGCCACAGTAAACGTATATTGCATTATTGCGAGCCATAGTACAGTTGATGTTGCACGGAAAATATTCGCTAAAAATTCCACTTTCGTTTGTAATTTATTTTTTGGTGGATAATGCGTTTATGTAAGTCATAATATATCACCTAAATAAATATGGCGAGTATTGAAATCAACACCCTGTATACTGTTGAAAAAATATATAGTACGCAAAAATACTATATTTTCAACACCGACAAACCTAACAAACAAATCCTTAATTTAAAAAAAAATAAAAACGCGCCTTTAAAGTAACTTTTAACTGTTAGGATGGCTAAGTCATATAACCTATTGCGCACGTCCTGCCACCTCTTGACTTCATCATCAGGACCCTGGACATCATCTAGCACTAAAGTGCTCGAAAAGACAAATTCAACGAACCCAAACTACACTCGCGAGCAAAAGTATGGAATCACTTACATGAAGTTGTTTCCATGCGATCTTGTGTACTAACGAATTTGTTAGTAACAAAAAAAGTGACACCATTTTAAAGATTAAACTTTTAACTTTAAATTGATACCAAGTTTATTTAAATCACATCAGTATTTAAAAAGATATCCCGGTTAGTGTGAAGAAGTAAGGAAAAAGACATGTATCAACTCTTTGATACGTCGCGAGTTGCGGCCTATTTACCCCCTATAAAAGCACGTGTTTTCGGATTTTGCTTTCACACGTTGATCCTTACACATCTCCGCTTCTTTTGACACCTGGTGTTCTACACCTTCAGAAGCAGCACAAATCGTTGCACTATTGCAAGAAGAGCTCAGCCAGCGGGCTGTCGCACGTCAGCTCCACATAAGCCAGTCCTGGGTTTCGAAAGTTTTAAGACGCTTTCGGGAGACTGGTATCGACGTCCAGCAAGAGCTCAGAAATGTTCGTAGGATAGCTGTTAGCAAGTGGACAGTTCGTCTAAGATATAAGCAATAGAATTTGACTCCAAAAAGGCCTGCCACGGGCTCGAAATTGACGGCAGGTCACCGATAAGCACGCTTTCAATTTGCTCGTACACATCTCGATGATAAGTCGAGCAAGCCACCCCTATAAGCCACTGTTTCAGCGAACCAGCACTGCACAAATCTCTCCCCAGGCCGCCTATAGACCCGACCTTTTCGACTGCTGCACTGCAAACACAGTCTGCATTCAACGGAGAACAAAACTCGCCTCCATTACTCGCCTTCCCATCAAAATAAGTGCGAGCTAATTGAAAGCGTGCTAGTCGGTGACTTACCGTCAGTTTCGAGCCTGTGGCAGACCTTTTTGGAGTCAAATTCTATTGCTCATATCTTAGACGAACTGTCCACTCGCTAACAGCTATCCTACGAACATTTCTGAGCTCTTGCTGGACGTCGATATCAGTCAAATAACGATTTCATAGAGAGTTTGACATGAAAAAACGGTCATCCCTCTGCGATGTGCACCGGCGCTGTTCAGAACTTGGTCTCGGGATAAAGCCACCAGTCTCCTGAAGGCGTCTTAAAACTTTAGAAACCCAAGACTGCCTTATGTGGAGCTGACGTGCGACAGCCCGCTGGCTGAGCCCTTCTTGCAATAGTGCAACGATTTATGCTGCTTCTGAAGGTGTAGAATCCCAGGTAAAGTGTCAAAAGAAGCGGAGATGTGTAAGGATCAACGTGTGAAAGCAAAAATCCGAAAACACGTGCTTTTATAGGGGGTAAATAGGCCGCAACTCGCGACGTATCAAACAGTTGATACATGTCTTTTTCCTTACTTCTTTACATCAGCCGGGATATCTTTTTAAATACTGGTGTGATTTAAATGAATTTGGTATCAATTAAAAGTTAAAAGTTTAATCTTTAAAATGGTGCTACTTTTTTTGTTACTAACAAATTCGTTAGTTCACAAGATCGCGTGGAAACAACTTCATGTAAGTGATTCCATACTTTTGCTTGCAAGTGTAGATGCAATTCCGCCGTTTCGTTTAGAAGTTCCTATGGCCACCTCCAGTCTCCATTCAGCTCAATAGTACCATAATATTGCATTTTCATCGTACTTACATAAGTATACCAAATTTCAGCTCAATCGGTTGAGAAGAACTGGTTTTAAATTCAGGTGCAAGATTTATCCCATACTAAGTAACAAGCCAAGTAAAAATGGTACGCATATCTTTTTTGCGACTAGGTTTCTTAGAGTATTATACCATTTTGGAATCTTGGATAGTTGCGTCAACTTATAAAAAACTTGCCGCAGTAGTGTTCATACTTTTTTTTTACAAAACGATGAGTCAAAGTGGAGTGAAAGTAAAAATCGTTGAAAATTTTAAGGAAATAACATATTTTGATTAACTTTTGTGTAAAAACTGCAAGGATTCTGGGGGTTTTAAGAGTTGGGGTGAACAGCAGCACTACTTAAGTTGCCGATACAAACAAAAAAACAAATATTTGAAAAATGGTGGTCGTGGTAATGTAAAATATCATAAGGGGTGTCAATTTTCGAAGAATTTCGTTATTTATTGTGTAACTTAAAAAATAATTGAGATTGATTTTTTCCTTATTTTTCCTAAAGTAGTCATCACTATGTCCATCCTACGGCGCCGGCTTATCCTTGAATTTTGGGACACGTTGTTTATTTGTCTATTTTTTTGTTTTTTTACCATAAAATACTATTTTTTTTTTAAATGTACTATATTTTTTTACACCTTATTTTGGAAAATACTATATTTCGCTGATGAAATGTTGGCAACGCTAATTGCAGGGTTGACTCTTCAGTGTATATGGTGTTTTTCTTCTCGTTTCTTAATTTATTTCTTGAATTTAAATTATTGTAAAAGGTACAGAAAAATCTTCAGTTTAAACGTTTTAATTGAGTCTGTTGCCATTTCATTATGTAGAAAATTAAATTCACTAACTTCTATGTTTTGAACATGTACGAGACAGTCTTTTGCGATAAAGTTGTGTACATTTAATTTAACCCTTTTGGGTCCGAGGCGGACCATGTCATCCATCAATAGGTACTTTTATCGACTTATTAAAACCGATTTAAGTGAATAAATGACTTGCTCGCGTGTGTTCATCGTTTTGATTAAAAAGGCTGAATAAATCGATTCCTATGAAACTTGTGGATAGTTTCTAGTATTTTTACTCTACTTTTGATCATGTCAGCGCACTATTTAAAATTAAGCCATCATTATACAAACACTTTAACTACTTTAAAAATCCCCTCTGAGTTAAACTTTAAAAATAAATTAAGTTATTGTAGATACTTATGCATTGAAATTGGCAACCCTAGGGATGCACCCCGGCGAATCGATCGGCCGTGACCATGGCAACCCGAGCCTCGGTGCGTGGGTCAGGGCCGTAGCGTTCAAATCCACATATTACTGCAATAGAATCCAGGCCCCAGACTCATAACCGAGAACTTTTCTCAGAAGATTTATAGTGAAATCTAAAAAAGATTTTGTTAAAAAGTTCTTCTCTAAATATGCTGTAAAGATGTTTTAATTGCATTGCTTTAAGGAGCAAACCATAATATAAGTATTCTTTATTCCATCTCAAATAAAATTAAATATTTTAGCAAGAATTCATTTTATAGTGAAGGACTGTAGGCTCTACAATATTATGAGTAATGACCCGGCGAACTTCGTACCGCCTTAGCGTAGAGATTTTCTTAATATTTTTTTCCGTAAGAACCATCCTTGGACTTCCACAAACATTTAAAAAAAAGAATTATCGAAATCGGTTCAGCCGTTCACACGTGATGCCGTGACAACGCGAAACGGGTTTCATTTTTATATATATAGACTAGCTTTGGTCGCCCGCTACGCGGGCTACAAAAGCTAGATCTGCGATGCTGGCCGCTCCGGGCTTCGCCCTACGCGGCGCTCGGCCTGCGGCCTCGCATTCGGAGCTCGGCCTTCGGCCTCGCAAAAATTACACGGGGCGTTTATCGTTCGTGGCAAGGCTCTTTTGCTTTTTTGACGCAACACAAGTTTAACTGTGGTAACTCTCGGGATTTGAACCATCGCTCGGCCTTCGGCCTCGCCTTTCTGTCTGTCACTGGGCTCTAGTCCTTTTTTGACGCATTAAAAATAAATCTATGGCGACTCACAGGCTTTAAGCTATCGCTCGGCCTTCGGCCTCGCCTTTTTCTACGTTAGCTGAGCCCCCCTGCATACAATTTGTATGGAGAGTTTAGTCCCTTTAGGAAAACGGGTGAACGCTTGGCGGCCATCTTGGATTTCCAAAATTTTGCATTTTTTCCTTAATCTGGACCATTTTCCGCGCCGAACCCCATTTTTACTTTTTTTCTAACTTCACCCAATCCCGTAAAACAATTCCTTAAAACCACCCATGTCCCAAAATTTTGAGTTTCCGTAACTCCCAGTGTTGCCAGGTCATCGAGCTAAAAATGGTCAAATGTCATTAGTTTGACCTATTTGCAGGAGGCGTCATCCAAATTTCTGACCGAAAGTCGTTATTTCCATTTTTTACATTTTTGGACCAAAACTCTCAAAGTATGGCAACACTGGAAATTTTAGTTTTCCCAAACGATACTCCTTGACAAACTACATAATCGCCACATACAACCCGACTTTCCCAAATTTTGCCAACTACCCGAGAAACGCATTTGAAAAACCAGAAAACTGAAACTTTTTACAAAATGGCCACCCGCTCAGCCGCCATCTTGAATTTCTGACATTTCGGATTTTTCCCATAGTCTGGGTCGTATAACCGACCAAACCCCATTTTTAGATTTTTTCTGCCATATCTCCTTCTGTCCGTCCTTAACTTTAAAGACACCCATGTCGAAAAAAATACTTTTCCCCGTAGCTCCCAGTGTTGCCAGGTGATCGAGATGAAAATGGTCAAATGTCATTTGCACGACCCCTTTGCAGGAGGCGTC